CAAACAAACATTTAATGGAGAATTCTTATAATTTTACTTCCCTTGTCAGCATTCACAATAAATTTGAATTCTAAGTAAAACCGCGAACTTTTTTTGGAATAATTTCCGCATTGAAACTTTTGCATCGACAAATCCCAAAAACACAACTGAAATACGAAAGCCTTTTTTACTACATTTTTAAAAAGCCAAAAGTCTTCAAGAATTGTATACCATAAACTTACATCTGATAAAGGCTAACGACCAATATCATGTCAAGAGAAGTGACACAAAGTTATCGGTTCCACGACCGATGTAAAAGTTGATTGGAGGAAAGTGTATCAAACATCTGCCGTGTGCACAAGGAACTCAATTCAGATTTTTCCAAAGACTGATAGCGACAAATAGCTATTCACAAAAAATAAGAATTAGACAGGACGGAAAATGCACCTTTTTTCCATGACGAAAAAGAAAATCTTATGCACTTATTCTGGCAATGCAAAGAACAAAAATGCTTCAGCAGAATCTTGGGACATGGCTTCAGTCGTGTCATATTCTCCCAACAGACAACCAACCACACATGGAAACCGCTTTGGGTCCTAAGCCTGACAGCCGCAATTTCAAACTCTATATAAATTTTTGCTGCATAATGGCTAAACACTATATTTGAATATGTCGATCGAAATAACTTTATCCAATTGGAAACGATTTCTTGACTCATCTGAAACATATACATCACTTTGAAAACACGACACCAAGCAACACAAAAAGATGGAAGCCCTTTCCATCCTCGCTGGATAAGGTCTCCCGAGCCCATGACTGCGAAACCAGTCCTTCTCTCATATGTAAAACATATAGTTAAAATAGAACGCTTTGCGTAGAATATGTTTTCGCCCAAAAGAAAGAAGGAAAGAAAAAAAGAGAAAAGAATTTATAAAATAAAAGTAAAGATCAGAAGAAATATCAAAATATAACTTGTAGCCAATTTTTAGAAATAATTTAGTGTAATTAGCCCCTGCAATTTAAGTTTCAAAATGTGAGCTGTTTAACTTGTGATATCACTGTATGTGTCAATGGTTTTAATGTAAGCAAGAGAAATGTAAATAAAGCATCATTGTAATTAGCGCAACTATTGTAACGTGTGTCTCTTTTGTAACTCTGTAAGTAGTAATTTTTTGTTGTTTTTACTGTTTTTGTTTTTACTGTTTTTGTTTTGTTTTGTATTTCCTTTTGTAATTAAATAAATTAAAAAAAAAAACAAGATAAAAACAAGCAA